TGCGACCACGAAAGAGCTGACATTGGAACAAAAAGATCTTTCTGGTGCTCTTAAGGCAGATGAAATATCTTGGAGGCAAAAGAGTAGAGTTATATGGCTGAGAGAAGGAGACATGAATTCCCAATTTTTTTCATAACCTCACGAAGCAGAGAAGAGCAACGAATAGGATTACATGCCTGAGACATCTAATCCATCTGAATTGGATGAGGCCCTGGGAAATATCTCGGCGACGATTACTAATGATATGAATGCATCTCTTGTGGCTCCAGTCACATAATGGGAAATTAAACTTGCGCTTGTTGCGATGCATCCAGAAAAGGCACCGGGGCCTGATGGTATGAGTGCCTTATTCTACCAGAAGTTTTGGGATATCGTTAAGGATGACTTGACTCGTATGGTCAATGAATTCTTATTCAATGGGATTATTGCACCTGGCTTGAATAACACCAATATCTGCCTAATCCAAAAGAAAGATAAACCAACGGAGATTGCCCAATTTCGCCCCATCAGCTTGTGTAACGTCAGCTACAAGATAGTCTCTAAGGTCTTATGCCAAGAATGAAGAAGATATTTCCGGATTGAATATCGGAAACCCAACCAGTCTTCGTTGAGGGTAGACAGATTACTGATAACATAATGATCGCCTAGGATATGTTTCATGCGTTGAGAAAAAAGCATGGAGGACGTCATAGAGAATGGCAATAAAGACATACATGAGCAAAGCATATGACCGAATGGAGTAGATTTTTATTGAAAGGGTTTTAGAGAAAATGGGATTCTCTAACATTTGGATAAATTGGATTATGCGGTGCGTATCATCGGTTAGGTACCAATTCATTATGAATGGTCAACCTAGAGGAAATATTGCCCCTGCGAGGGGCCTGTGTCAAGGAGATCCTTTGTCTCCTTTCATTTTCATCCTATGCACGGAAGCGCTCGTTAGCATTCTAAAACATGCAGAAACGCAGGGGAAGATAATGGGAATGCGCGTTTCACGTGCTAGCCCCTCAATATCTCACATGTTATTTGCTGATGATAGCTTGTTCTTCTGTAAGACGGAGCCCCGTGAATGTGATGAAGTTATGAAAGTGGTAAAGATCTATAGAAAGGCGTCTGGACAGTGCATTAATTTTGAGAAGTCCGCGATTCTGTTTGGGAAAAGGGTGCCGAAAAATATTAAGCAGGAGAAGGACACTTTTTCCATTGATAATGAGGGGGGGGGGGGAATGGGTACTTACCTGGGAATCCCAGGATACGTAAATGGATCAAAGTGTAAGATCTTTGCTTTTCTAAAGGATAGACTGGACCATAAAATCAATGGTTGGTAAGCATGGTCATTGTCACATGGAGGCAAAGAAGTCGGATTAAGGCCATAGCTTTAGCACTTCCAACGTACGTAATGTCTAGTTTTCTTCTTCTTTTGGAGATATGTGACAAATTAGCAAGTGCGATTGCCAAATTCTGGTGGAGCTCGAATCCGCCTAAACGAGGTATGCACTGGGCATCATGGGATAAAATTTGTATTCCCATAGAAGAAGGAGGAAGGTTTAAAGCTTATCCACGAATTTAATTTGGCTTTACTGGCCAAACAACTATGGAGATAAATTCAATTCCCGGACTCTCTTCTTGCAAGAGTTTTGCAAGGCAGGTACTATCGACAAAACTCACCACTGCGGGTGGTTGAGGCATCTTACCCATCATATGTGTGGACAAGTTTGATGGCTGCCAAACCTCTCTTAATGTTGGGAATCAATAAGAAAGTTCATTTAGCATATGAAATCCGTGTGTGGGAAGACCCATGGATACCATCAACCCCGGCAAGACCGGCTCGTGCAATTAATCCAATGGTAAATCCGAGAATGATAGTTAGTGACCTGATCCATGGTTCACCGAAGATATGGAATGTGGAGATGCTGGAGAATCTTATTGTTCAAGAAGATATTAGACTCATCCGGAGCTTGGCCATAAGCCAATCCCATAGAGAAGATAAGTACAGATGGAGCTATACTCAACATAGGATGTACACGGTGAAATCAGGCTATTGGGTGTGAGAAGCATTCTGAACCGAGAGACTGAAGAGAAGGTCGAGGAACCAAGTGTAACCAGCTTAAAGACTTCTGCTTGGAAAATTCAGGCTCCACAGAAGATCCGCCACCTCATATGGCAGTTGGTATCTGGATATAGAGTGGTCACGAGGAACTTGACAAGACGCCATATGCGTTGCGAAATTTTTTGCCCCAGATGTGGTGAACCAGATGAATCTGCTAGCTATGCTATCTTTGAATGCCCACCGGCTTTGCAGACATGGGCCCTTGCATCGACACCCTCATGCCCAAGAACTTTCCCAACAACAAGCATATTTGCAAATGTGGACTACTTGTTTTGGAGAAAGAATGAGATTGAAGACCCTGATCTAGATAAGGACCCTTATCCATGGATTCTTTGGTTCCTATGGAAATCAAGGAATGATAAACTTTTCAGAGGCATCTCAAGAGATCCGCTTGAACTGGTGAGACATGCAGAAAGTGAATGCAATGCTTGGTTTGAAGCAAATGTAAAAAACACTGAAGTAGACCAGACAGAACAAATGGATATGCAAGTCCTAAGCTTGCAAGACATTTGCTTAGTGGATGGATCATGGACAGCGGAAGCAGACCGAAGTGGTTATGGATGGGTTTGGTTGGATGGGCTAGGGAAGGAACAACTTTTAGGTCTAAGGAACAAAGAAAACGTATGTCTTCTTTGCACGCAGAATTGGAAGCACTGATGTGAGCGATGGAGATGATGATTCAGAATAATTTTTGTCAGCACTTTGGGACGGACTGTAAGAATGTTATTGCAATGATTCAGAAACCGAAAGACTGACCAAGCTACTCGACAGAACTAGGAAAGTTTGCCCTACTGACGAACAGACTTCCAGACTTTAAGATCTCCTATGTGCCAAGGACGCAAAATCGGACCGCAAATGGTTTAGCTAGGGTTGCACGTAATTTTTATCGTGAGTTGTGTTTTGTTGGTTGTTCTATTCCGGACTGGATTCTCAGACCACCTCAAGTTTTAGTAATAGAATAACCTTTTGATGTTAAAAAAAAAATTAATCTATACTATCAAAACTTAAGTACACAAATGAATTAACCCTTAAATTTACACTTTAATTACAACTAGTGCCACTGAAAACAAATCAATCCTATTTTTAAGCATTATCATTTGGTCATCTAACAATACTAAAATCCAAATATAAAGCTCTGTAAGCTAGGCCACGTCTGCATAAAAATCATCCAATAAGGATACTTCTTTTCGCCATGTCAGCACGAAATTGGGCATTTTGGGCTTCACATTTTTTTTTTAATTTGTTTTGATTAGTATTTGAGATCCATTAAGCACAAACCCTAAAAAACCATCTCTTCCACGATGAATTCTTCTCTGTTTCCTGCAAAAACGATTCCTTTTTCTTTCTTCTCAGTTTCTCTGCAAAACGTATTTTGAACTTTTGATTTCTTATCCAAGAGTCCGCACATTGATTTCTCTTCCTTTCTTTTCATAACCTTCTCTACAATACCTTTACCATAGCCAAGAGTCACCTTTTTTTTTAACTTCAGGCTTCTAAAACTTTTATTCTAGAAATCAACTTTTGTGTGGTTCTCTTAGAAATCCTATGAGAAAGTGGTTATAGACGTTGCAGAAAAAAAGAAAAAAAGAGCAAAAGAAGGGGAATCCGATAAGTTACAAAGAGATTTACGACAAAGATCTAAATGATGTTTTCTTCTCTGAACTCTAATGGTTTCATGGTAAAAATATTTGATTCAAAAGCACTAAAATTAGAGCGTTTTGTTTTGTTTTGTTTTGTTTTGTCTGTAAACATGAAATAAACATCTGCTAACAAGGTCTTGAACTAGGAAGGAAACTCTAGAAAACTGAAGGTTTTAGTAGGATCTCTTGCATTCTCTGAAACATTTGGTTCTTGTAAGAAAACTTATTGTTCCTCTGTGCCTTTTCTTCTTCCAAAGGGTTTTGTTTTTGTTATCATACATTTTCACATTCAATATTGCTATCATTTATGAGTTTTAGCAGGCTAAGTATGATAATATGAAACTGAGGATACTTCATGATAAAACCCACCATAAAGAGAAAGGAGGAGGAACATAGAAATCAGACCTGGAAAATCAATGAAAGGTAAAAACGATGAGGTTTATCATCATTTATTGTTCCTGCTCATGTTTTTTTTTGCTTACATGAAGATATTTCAAGTGAAAACTGTATACTTTTAGTAAAATCTAAGTATGCTTCAAGACTTTCATGCCATTTTAGTTTGCTTCCTCAAGCGTTTAACCTTTACTAACGGTCTTTTATTTAAACCCTTGATTTTAGTGGCAGCTTCAGTATGTTTCTGGAGGTAAGCACAGTTCATCATCATTCTAATGTATTTTGTGTCCGTTTTTCGATGTCTCTAAAAGACCTAAAACTCAATCTCAGTGAACCAACCTCATTTCTTAACCTTTCTGGAGTTCTGTGTGATCATGATTTTGTGGTTTTTTCTCACGGGTTAGCACATTGGGGTACATTCCATCACATTACCGTGTTATGAGGTAGGTGATCTTTTTGTTTGTTCAAGACTCTGTGATCTGCGGGAGTGATTTCACTAATTCACCCGAAAAAATGCAGGAGGGAGCTTCATGGACCAGAAGGAAGCGATGACAAGGTTTATGACTTGGTAACTGCTTTGTTTTTTGGGGGATTGCAGAGGCTTACAAAAGAAACTGGATGGAAGAAAATTTTAAAGTAGAAGTATGTTTATCACATGATTTCATTGGTGTGGATTTCTTTAACTATCTATAGTGTATAGTCCCAAGAATAAACTACACATTCTTTTGTGGGTTTGGTGAAATGTGAAAATTATGAGTGGAGCTCAAGTTTTGGCCATACGATGCTCTTAATTTCTCTATTTTAATACTTCTTCTACGTATCAACATGCACTCAGAATTCATGTGTTGCATGGAGTTATGCCAGATGATGTTTCTTGGAAGCTCAATTTTGCTGACCACTATTCAGATTTTGGCTTAATTGATATGGTATGTACTCTCACACAGTAATTTATGCTTTCCCTGAGCTATAAACCATACAAGAGTATGTTGCCAGCATCCAGGAATTCCTCCCAGTTAATGGTTTCTTGACTTCTTTAAATTTGTGGACATCTGGAGTTAAAAGTTGTAGTTAATTAAAGTTTTAGGAACAATCTCTCATCCTTTTGCGCAATGTGAATTCTTCAAGTCATACAATATCTACAAAAGATAGGATCCCTATGTGCATTTGATTTTTGTATTCTACTCAATTCATGAAATATCCAGATGGTTTGATGCTTGAGAAGGGCCAAAACACATCCCTCTTTCATGGGAAAAATGCTGTTTATTTCGGCTACAAATTAGATGATAAATTAGATTGTGGTTCTGAAATGTGTGTTGGCTTTGATTACTGAATATATATTATTACTTTGTACTGTATTCTAGGAATTGTTTAATGTATTTATGGTTTTGTCTTGCCAGTTGCTTGCGGCTGGAGGTGGAATGTATGTGGAAGTTTTCAATAGAGTAACCCCATTGGCTTACAACCTCATAAAGAAGAATAAAGTCGGAGAAACTAACACTTAATTGGATGGAATCTACTTTCATTTCACTTACTTAACCAAACTTGAATCCATTACTCCAGTCGTGAATGCTCTAACTGCCCATCACGACATTATCTCCGATCTTATTCCTTAAACATAAAGAAGAAGTATAACTGAAAAGATGATGAACATTGCATGTGTGAATGTGACCACATTTAGGATTCTAGATGTTTGCTTCCTGATACGTGCTCAAATTACCCTAAGGAGCACTTACTCTCTCAAATAAGAGATCTATTGTAGCACTTAGGGATTCCACAAGGAGCTAAGGAATCACTTAAATCTAATCAAGAAATAACACTAGGTGAATATTAAATTTAAAATTGCAGTGAACAAGTAAACAGGAAATAGTAAATATTCTAGTTTAGCAAGACAATTACTCGACAAAATGGAATGAGGTTTTAAACGTAAATGGAAAGGTATTAGACTTAAGGATTTTATTGAGGTGTTGGAGATTATAATCCATAGGTGCTAATTAGTTGTTTGCATGGTAATGTATTAAAGAGCTTAACTATCTTAATAACAGAATTACTATACTTTGGCTTAATAAATAGTCTATTGACTAGAGAGTTTTTGACCCAAACAAGAATGTCCGATCAATAACAGTGTCGATCGATTATTATATTGGAATATCGACCGATACACTTTACATGACGTGGATCGATTTCTGATGGGAATATCAATCAATGCGGCTAGTAAAGCGTTATACGCGAGTTAATGTACACTCACTATGGACCCCCTAGATCAAGCGCTCACTTTCTCTAGTAAAATCCTTTCTTAATCAGGATGTATTCAAGACTATCAGAGTTATCTAAGGATGCTTAAACAACCTAACAATCCTAGATTCAGGTTTCTAGTTAGCAAGTCTAGAACATAAGCATTAAGAACATCCTAATAATGAATACCACAACAAGCGATCCTATAGTTGGAGCTAATCCCACTAACCTATTTAAACCATAATTCTAACAAGTGAATTATTCAGACATGGCTAAGTAAATCATAACACAAACAAAGTAATAAAACAACATAACTATAGATAGATAGAAATCAATGGAGTTCCAACCATAAATCTCTTGCTGATCTTCTCTCTCAAACTATAAATCCTAAAAAACCTTTTGCTGTGAAAAGAATAAAAAAAAAGCTCTCTCTGCCTCTAACACTTTGGCAGAGTATATAAACTTCTGTTTAAACTCGTCAAGGGTATAATCGTAGTTTGGTGAAGTTTGGACTTCAAGTCGGCTCTCTCACGAATTGGTCTTCCGCGCCTTCGGCATCGATCGATTATGCAGAGTGCATATCAATCTACGTGAATTTCTCCGTGTCGACCTCGTTGTCTTGGTCGATTCCGAAATCGAGTGATTTCTCCAATTCTCTCTAAAATGCTCCAAAACATCACTTTCTTCCATAATACTCCTGAACCTATAATATGCTTACAAGTTTCTATAATATAAAGTAGTTATAAAAACACCACTATACCATGACTAAACGTGGGTCAAAATCATGGTATATCAACTCCCCCAGACTTTACCCTTTTGCTTGTCTTCAAGCAAAACAAACATGCAGTCTCTCTGAAAGAGTTTTGAAAAGAGCAAGGACTCACAAATTTAAAACTTTGAAATAATAACTTCTATAATATTGCAATCCACATCTAATAAGTTCTAATCATAGAAGTTCACTATGGCATATCCTAGCTTAGCAACCAAATTCATCTATCCATCAACTTAGGAAATACTGTCTGACATTCCCCACAACTAACCTCATTTCTTAACATAAAATAAAAGTGCAGGCTTTACCTTGGGAGTAATTATCACCGGATGCAAGGATTCTCAAACAAGTATCTGGATCTGCAAGTAAAAGTTAGTTCCTATCTTTTCTCTCATCTAATTTCTCTCTTGAGTTAAAATATGCTTCTAAGGCATAATTATTGACCAAGATTGGACAAGCTTCCATGAAACAAGCCTTAATGGTGGTTGCCACCAAGTCCTGATCACTTTTTTTTACCTATATCCAAGAATTCATATGAAGTGAGCCTTAATGGTTGTAGCCACCAAGTCCCATTCAAATTATTTTGTTGGAATCATTATGAATCAAGCCTTAATGGTTGTAGCCACCAAGTCATATTCTGATTCCTCCTAACTAAAAACCTAATAAACTTAATACTATTTTTGGATTTTTTAATAACTATAGATCTAATTAACTATCTAGGATCAAAAATAGAGAGAGAAAAGGTGATAAATCTACACAAGGCTTTACCTTCCAGACTTGCTTGAAGAATCCGACACATGTATACCAAGCCACAAGACAAGCAGTTGTGTCAGGTTTAGGGTTAGAGGTCATCTTTGGTTCCTTCAAACAATCTAAGCAAATGTGTATAGTTGATTGGTTGATCCACTTTAGCATCCTTAGTACTATCTGTAATCATTACATCTAGAATGGTGCTAAAAATTTGTTAGATGACAAGTATAAATCAAATAAGATCATCATCCTTTTTCTTGAGCTAATAAAAGTAGTTTCGAAAATAATTTTTATAAGACTCATAGCAAATAAAATATAAGTAAACCTCCCTCAGACTTAAATTACACTGTCCCCAGTGTAAAACAGTCGGAGTTATGACGAAAGAAAATAAATCATAAATACTCAATGTAACAAGGAAGAAAGATAAACCTGACTGGACTAAATATCGAACGATGTTTAAGAGAGTGCGTTGATTGTTGCAGGTGATCGTCTGTCAATTGATATCGACTGTGTCTCGGTTGATAGGATGGTCATCTATTTCTCCCTGGATCTTTAATTTTTTATTTTATATAAAAACCTGCAAATATGAAAAACGAAAAAGAATCAGTAAAGTAAAAGAAAACCAAAAGAAAAAGTACCTAATAGTGGGTTATCTCCAACTCAGCGCTTTGTTATAGTCATTTAGCTTGACTGCTGAGGTATGGTGAGCTATTGTGTGGAAAAACAGCTACTTGACCACACCCTGTGAGCAGCTCGCCCATCGGCGAGCTGAACACATCTGTCCAGCTTGCCAACGGGTGAGCTGACCACACATGTAACCAGATTGCCCGTTGGCGAGCTGAACACATCTGTCCAGCTCGCCATAAGGCGAGCTGAGTTCAACTATCTATGCCCCTCGACTCGATCGTACTCTGAAATGTGATCGAAATGTGTTTCATTTCATCTCAATCAACCTTACCGTTTGAGTTTTACGATAAAAACCGTAAAAGGCGTGTTTTTAGTAAAACCTTGAGTAAATTGAAACACAACAGTTAAAAGAAACACCGAACATTGCCAAACTATACGATTAAGCCGAAATGTTTTAGTAAAAAACCGCAAAAGACGTGTTTTCTCGTAAAATCTCGAGTAAATCGTATAAAACGGCAACGGTTAAATGAAACACCCAACATTGCCAAACTATACGGTTAACTCGAGATTTTTCATGAAAGATCACTAAAGACACGCTTTCTCGTAAAACCTCGAGTAAATCGTATAAGATGGCAACAGTTAAACGAAACACCAAACATTGCCAAACTATACGATAAATTCGAGATGTTTACTTAAAAATGGCATCGTAGCAGGAAACGATCTCGTCTAAAAACATAAAATGGTTAAATTTTAAAATGGCCCGAAAAGTCCTAAACGCGATAAAGGCCCACTCGTGACTTTGAGTAAGGTCCAGCCCAAAGATACAATGACGGTTTGCTTATTATCCGCAGAAGTGGATAAATGTCAAGATTGAAGATAAATGGAAGATTTCCGATAAAGCGCGTATCAATGCGGAAAAGGAAAGACCAAACCGGCTAGAGAAGCAGTATATAAGCAGAAGGTCGAGGACAGAAGCAGGGACGATTTTCAGAGCTCTCATCACACAGAAAACCTTAGCACTTAGAAACTTAGGCTTTATTCTCGACAAGTTCAGTTTTTATGACTGGCGCTCAATTACTAGACGAACTTGCCCAGGCAGTTCGATCTCATGTCCAGCTCTATCAATTGAACTATGTTTGACTTGATCCTCGAAAGGGGTACATAGGCAGCCTTTCATAAGGTTCAGTCCGAAATCAATCAAAACCCATTTTTCTTATCTTTTTCGTCTTTTGTTATCGAGCTGCGACTCAACTAGGTTTAAGGTTTTATGTTGCTAGAATTAGGAAACTCGCTGATGGCCCCTGCGGCCAAAGCCTTTGTAATCTCTTGTAAAGATCGCATCGCTCTTATGCGAATTCGAAATAAGATCAACTTTCTTTATAAATTCGTTTTATCATGTTTTTCATATTTTTCCGCATTTATTTGGTTACTTGTCGTTGGCTCTCGCAGAGATCCGGGTCCTCTTGAAAATTAGAGTTTTCCTAAGTTTCCTTATTTCAGGGAAATCGACGGTGTGAATTTCGGTTCCCACAGTTTGGCGCTTGAAGGAGGGGGGGGGGGTCAGATTACTCTAACTCATAGCCGCAAAACGCTTGATAAAAACGATGACTGGGTATATGAAAGACAAAGTTGCAGCCTGCTCGCAAAACGCTGTTAAAACAGCTCCAGCAGCGACTAGTCCTATAGCCAACGCTCACGCAAACGCTGTAGTACTTAACAAAATCGAAAACCTAATCGCGACTTTTCGCCACGGGAGGAGCAACAAAACAAGCTCGCAATTTATCTCTCTGATCATTAAGGGCAACGATAAAATATTTCATTATGTATGGGTTGACCAAAAGACGTTTTCCGCGAACTTTTCAGAAAAATAAAACTTGTTCTTCCAGAAACCGCGGAATAAACCCTAGGTTACTCGTGAAATAAACCCTAGATTACTCGCGGAAAACCCTAACTTACTCGCGGGAAAAAACCTAGCTTACTCGTGGAAAAACCTTAGGTTACTCACGAGAAAAACCCTAGGCTACTCGCAGAATTTGACGATACTATCCGGCACGCAAAGACGGTGAGTTGCCAAGCAACCCAGGTTGCCACCTCGACGAGCTGATCGGCCTTTCACCTCGCCTC